TGCAACCCACCTCACCTTCTTAGACTGTGTAAGCTGTAAAGGTTGGAGGTGATTAAGGCATTCACCCACCTAATGATGCTTTCCTGGTACCTGTGAGCTTCCAGCACTACTCTGGGTGCCAGGAAGACAAGACTGCTATCATACTAGAGACTACGGAGAGCGGAGAATGGGGCACAATCAACAAATTAGCAAGTAACTGGAGGTTTATTTTTGTAGTAAGTGCTTGGAGGTAAAAATTAATCAGGCAACCTATTGGACTCTTAGAAGAAATAACAAGCACTTCTCTGAGTTGGAGGAAAGGTGATCATCATTAAAGGTGAGCATAACCCTATCATTCAAAGACTCAATCCAAATGTGCACACAAAAGCAAAGACAATGAATCAAATAAGGTAGAGTTTATTGATGAACTGTGAGTGGAAAAAATCCTAAAACAACAACAACAACAACAACAACAAAAAACCACTGGGTACCTAAAATAAACAGTGCATCTCATAGGCATGGGCTGGAGCGATAGCACAGCGGGTAGGGCGTTCGCCTTACAAGCGGCCAACATGGCCGACCCGAGTTCAATTCCTCCGCCCCTCTTGGAGAGCCCGGCAAGCTACCGAGAGTATTGGATATGTCAGACACAGTAACAACAAAGTCTCCAATGGAGACGTTACTGGGCCCGCTCGAGCAAATCGATGATCAACGGGAGGGCCTTTACCTTTACCTTTACCTCATAGGCATGATTTTATACTATAATGAAGCATAAGAAATATCTGCCTGAGGGGACAAAAAGATAGTACAGCGGGTAGGGCACTCCCAGGTTCTATTCCCAGCACTGCTTATGGTCCATGAGCCTGCCAGGAGTAAAGCCCTAACATCATTGAGTGTGATCCAAAAACCATACTCCACATTTGTAGGGTTCATGGGGGGGGTGAAATCCAAACATTTGATAAAGTGCATACCTACACATGACCTAAGTAACAATTTTATTAATATGCATAAATTCCACAACAGCTGAGGGTTTTTTTTTTAAACTGGTTCACAGACATATGCTGGCAATCAAAACAACTTCTGGATTTAGTAATCACTGGGTGCATGTCTACTGGGTGAGTGAATGAATGAATGAGTTTAAGGAATGAATGACGTGCTCTTGACTGGGGATAAAACTCATGTAGCCTTAAGGAACAAAACCTCCATCCTGGGAACAAGGCAAGGGCGCCCCCTCGTGGACAACACTCCCCAGGCTTCCTCTTTATTGCAGGGTAAAGCACAATGAAGTTTGGATCAGACGACCGGAGACAGAACAGCCCATGTTTTGTAATGGCATAATCACTGCTCCAGAAAAACTCCTGCAGTCGGCAACATTTCTAAGCTCAGATTACACACAATTCTCCCTTTGCAGCACTGTTCTGAAAAATTAACCAAAAATAGCATCTCCCTTAGAATTGAAACTGAAGCTAAACATGCAGAGAAGTAACCTAACAAAGGAAAGAGTAACTTCTGAAAAGAATTTTAAAATTTGAACAAAAAAATATTCATAGATAAATAATGGGAGAAGTAGTATATATTCATGGATGTGATTATTTAATATTGAAATGTCAGCTGTTCCTCAAATTAATCTGTAAATTCAATACGAGAGCTATCAAAACGCCAGCATGTATTTTTTGGTGACTTGATAAACTGATTATAAAATCAGAGCAAAGAAAATTAGAGGTCTGAGAATCACTGAGACAATTTATTTAAAAAAAGAAGAAGAAGAAAAAGGGAAAACCATACAATAAGATATTAAGAGCTCAAACCACAGAATACACAGAGTATATCAAAACAGAGATCATAGAATCCTGTGGCTACATAGTATTCTATCAAGGGAAAACAAAGTCATGAAATTTGCTTATAAAGGATGGACATGGAGAGTATCACGCTGAGTGAAATGAATCAGAAGGAGAGGGACAGACATAGAATGACTGCACTCATTTGTGTGATATAAAAAAAATAGTATAAGACTAATATCCAAGAACAGAAAAAACAGGGGGCAGGAGGATTGGTCCATGGTTGGGAGATTGCCACAAGTATGTGGGGGTTGGAGGGCAGTTAGGGTAAAGAAAGAACCACAGTGACAACCACAAATAATCACTCTAACCAAGAGCTGAATGCTAAAATGAGGTAAAGGGATGTACATATAATCTTTCAGTATCTGTATTGCAAACCATAATACCCAAAAGATGAATTATTTTTTACTTCATGGAGGTTTTTTAAAAAGTAGTGAGTCCCTATCTTAGGTCATTTTCAAAAATAACTTCAGAGCTGGAGTGACAGTACAGTAGGTAGGTCTCTTGCCTTGAACCACCAAGTTCAATACGACTCCCCAAACAGTCACCTGAGCCCACCAAGAGTGATCCATGAGCACAGAGCCAGGAGTTACCCCTGGGCATCACCAGGTATGGCCCCCAAATAAGCAAACAAACAAACAAAGTAACATCAGTTGAAATTTAGAAGTGCAAAAGACAAATCTGGAACATGATAAAAAAATAAAATACGTTTCTAATTTATAGGTAAGGGACTATTTTAAAGTTTAAAACAAAGGGGGAAACTGATTTGGCAACATTCTGAAGACAGACTTTGATTTCATGAAGATCCACATAGGCCAAATCATCAGTTGGCTGAAAAAGTAGGAGACTCCATTTTCAAATTTAGGGATGGAAACACAATAAAATCTTGAGTTTCTTTGGGGATGGAAACTCAAAAAAATCTTCTTTGGAGAAGATTCAAAGAGACAACTAGGAGGGAAAGTTAGAAACTTGGAATGTGCAGGAGGAACATGTCTGAAAAGTACAATCATAGAATTGCACATCAAACAATGATTCATCACTTTCCTCTTCAATCCAATTAGCAAAGCAAGAGAGATGATAAAGATGATGCAGAAGCCTTCATCCTCTGTGGCCGTGCTCCAGAGCCCACCATGAGGATAAGCAGAAACACATACAGAGACTTATAGTGCTTCAGACATTATTGGGGGGGAGGGATTGTCAGCAAGCCATGAGCAGATTAAAGTGGTAAGAAGCAGGGGGCATGGTGCTGCCAGCAAGTTAATCTGTACCTGTGAGGCGAGTGCATCAGCAGCCTGATGGTGCCTTCAGACTTCCAGATACCCCAAAATTGCTGCTGTGCCTTTGACCAGACCCCAACAACTTGGGGCCAAGTTTACCAGGAAAGTAAATGACCAAAAGTAGGTATGTGGGAGACACACCCACAAACCATCTCCAGCTCAGCTCTATAATTGGAGGCAAGGTCTCTCTGGTTCCTGATCAAACTGCTTAATGGCCATGATCCCCAAGACTCAGAAACAAATCTCAGAAACCTGAGTTTTTGGCAGAAATGCATCTGGTCCCTGCAGTAGGTTACCAGCGCCGGGCCACCCCAGGTGGGAATAGGTTTCGTGCCTTGGCCTGTTCCCCCTGACGGCCTGGTGGCTGCCATCACCCAGAGGCCACTGGGCAGTCAGATTTGGGCCCGCAGTGATGAGACATGCAGGACCTCATGGGATGGCGGTGGAGCCGGCCGTTTCATCCCGCCCTAAACGAGACCCCAAGTTGCCACCCACGAACAGCCTCTCTGGCTCCTGATCAAGCTGGTTAATAGCCATGACCACAGATACTCAGGAGTAAATCTTGGAACCCAGCAGGTTTTGGCAGAAATCCCTCCAGATTCAGGGGCCGGAGCGATTGCACAGCAGGTAGGGCGTTTGCTTTGCACGCGGCTGACCCAGGTTCGATCCCCATCATCCCATATGGTCCCCCAAGCACCGCCAGGAGTAATTCCTGAGTATATAGTCAGGAGTGACCCCTGAGCATCGCTGGGTGTGAACCAAATATATATATATATAAATTAACATAAAAAAGAAAGAAATCCCTCCAGATTTAATTGTTAATATTTCAGAATTCCAAAATAGTGTGACCACTACTGCAACTGCATGATATCATATGTTATTCATACCAGCAGTGGAAAACAAATTGTCTACGGTTGCCTTTTTGGCAGATAAAATCCTAAATAATAATGGTGGATCTGGGGTCAAAATATTGAATGAAATAAAAGTAGAGAGAAAGTAATGTGGAAATCATCTGCCCCAGAGGTAGGGGGAGGGTGTGGGATCAGGGGGTATACTGGGGTTTTTGGTGGTGGAAAATGGGCACTGGTGAAGGAACAGGTGTTTCATCATTGTATGACTGAGACTTAAACCCAAAAGCTTTGTAACTGCTCTCACGGTGATTCAATAAATAAATTTATAAAAAAGAAAAAAAGAGTAAGGTGGAGTTCATGCCCAATTCAATCAGCTTAATCAATGGCTAAATAAATCGCAATACTCCTACATTTAAAAAAATAATAATAATAAAAAATAAATAGGTAAGAAGCTCTGAGTAATCCACCCAAGAAATGGTCCAGTGTGTAGAACACACCATGAATAGAGCACAAAGGCATGTACCAAGGATGTGGGTGGGGGGCGGGGAAAAAGCAATAAATCTGAATTTGCATAACAATAGCATGTTTGGAAATGTCTAAACTACATGGACTTGTTGGTTAGATTCATGTAATTATATTATTAAGTGATCTTCAGGACTGTGCTGGAGAAGTCAAATCTAGTCATTGATGAAAAATGGGATCTTCAGCCAAACCAACAGAACTATTCAGACACAACTGTGTTCTCAGGAATGGCCAGATTCAATGTCACAAGATGCTGTACCTCAGGCAGGAGTGTAGAGGCTAATGAACAGAGCTTTCACTGTCACTCTTCAGGACATTTTACAACCTGCCCGCAAACACCCATGCTTTTATTTTCAGAAATATTGGAGATCAATATCAAAATCCCCAAAGCCCTTCGCATCCTGGTCCATGATGAATATATTTGGAAGAAAAACTTTCTTAGTTATTGCAGTCTTTATTTTAAAGAACATAAAAATAAAGGTGCCCAGTCTGGGCACAAGTGATGTTCTATAGCTCTTCCAACCCCTGCTCACCGTGCCTTCGGGATCCACGAGCAGCAGGTGCTTGGCCTGGCCGTTATGCATGCCCGTGAGGACAAAGGAGCCTGGGTTGGTGGTGCTCTTCCTGACCAGGAAGTCTCCATCTCTCTTCAGCAGCCCCTCGGCCTCCTTTCTGCTCATCTCTCCTTGGTACCAAGGCTCCGCTCTCAGCTCCTCCAGCATCTTGGCATCTGGGGCTCTGGGTAAGACAGGGCTGATGCATTCCACAGAAGCTGCCTTGTTCAACACAGGCCCCAAGGACTGGTTCTTGAGAGCATCTTCAAAAGGTTCTGTCAACAACAATTGCCAACAAGTCAATCCCCAAATGGTAAAAAGTGAAATGTAAAAGATGGGCATGAAAAGGCAATTTCCATAAGAGAGAGGGGGCAAGCAGAGCAATAGTACAACAGGTAGGCTGTTTGCCTTGTATGTGGTTGACCTGGGTTCAATTCCTGGCATCCCATAGGGTCTCCCACACACTACCAGATATAATTCCTGAGCGCAGAGCCAGGAATAATCCCTGAGCATCACCAGGTGTGCCCGCCCCCCTCCCCTGGCAGAAAAAAAAGAGAGAGACAGAGACAGACAGATGACTGACTGATAAAATAAGAATCAATATGACAAGCATTTGAAAAAGCACAACCCAAATCTTGGCGTGACTCTTTCTGATGAGTCTGCTTTCCCAAGACAGCTGGGCGTTGTGCCTTTTGCCAAGGCTTCAAGCACAGCCTTTGTCTAACTGATTCAAATGACTTCATTTCTGCACACTGCAAGAGGCTGGGTGTATTACATGTCATCTACTTTCACTGGAACAGAGGCTAGCCCTCTGAACAAATCTGTTCTCTTCTGAATAAAAACCTGCCAATCCCAGAGGAAGTATCATAAAGGAAGAGGGAAACTGCAGAGGCTTTGATTTCACGCAAAACCTAAACCCAACCCATCAAATGTTTACTTCAAAAATCTGTGCCTTGGGAACATTTTCAGCAGAGAAGTAAACTGACATTTACTGAGAGTCTTGTGTGACTTGCCCTGGGCTAAAAGCTCTACCACTCTTGCCCTTCACTCATTTCCCTGTGGAAAAGGCTCTTGCATGCTAGCATGACATGGGGTGACTTCACACCCTTCAGAACTTATTGTTGACCACAGGCCATGGATCTGCTGTAAAAGCAACAAGCATCAGTCACTAAGGAAGGAGCTACATGTGTTTAATTAAACCTCAATGTTTAATTTTCAGATGATGAAATGTGTAACAAGCACTCTTAAAAAGTGCACCAAGTGCAAGGTTGGATGATAATTTGGACCACCTTGCCTGCGACAGAAGCTACAGAAAGTGTAATGACCACAAGTGAGTCATAGCTGTCTACTCAGCAAAGTCACATGACCAGAGGCCAGCATGTTCCTGAGATATAGTGTGAATCCTGTAAATATTCGATGAATGTTCTAAAATTAGACAGTGTGCTAAATGTTGGTAGAAGGGCAAAATATAGTGGAATAATTGTCTACCTCTTGGACAGAAAACATTTCTCTCAAAAGGACATACACACACCATTTTTCATTGCTGCATTCAGAACCATAGCTAAGATATGGAATCGGAATCAACCTCAGTGTCTAGTGATAGATGAATGGGTTATAAAGATGTGGTATGTGTACACAATGGAATACTATGCAGTTACAAGTAACAATGAAATCATGCAATTTGCTGGAAGATATCATGTTGAGTGAAATAAGCCGGAAGATGAACAGGATGATCTCACTAATCTGTGGTATATAGAATACTGGATCAGGAAATGCTTTGTTGTAAAGGGCGAATACCTAGATTCTTGACCCCAGAGTGGAGAAGGCAGAGAAGGAAAGAAATGAAGGGAGAAAGAAGAGAATGGGAAGTAATGGGTGAACAGAGGTCAGGGCTTTAGATATACTGGTGATAGGGGTGAGTAGTATAGCTATATATCCAAAACAGAGATTCAACAACACTGAAAAAATGAGATCTAAGCTGTAATTAATGGACCTTTGTAATGTGCCTGTCAAGGTGATGGGAGAAGGATGGGCAGGGTTGAGGGGGATAATAAAATATGGAGATGAAATATGAAATATGGCAATGAAATATGCTGGAGGGAAATTGACACTGGTAGTGGGTTTGGTGTTGAAATATTATATGCCTAAAATTCAAGTCTGAATCACTTTGCAAGTCGCAGCTCTTTAATTAAATTAAAAAACTTATTAGCATAGAAAAATAAGAAGTGGAATAGAATAAAACCAAAAATAAGTCATTTTACAAGTGTTAACTTGTTGCAAGATTTGGAAAGGAAAAGGGGTTTAAACTATAAGTTAAAGGAGAGAGAGAGTAAAGGGGAATGTGCCTGACACAGAGGTGGGAGGGGGGAATACGGTGGGGGTGACTGAAGGAATACTGGGAACATTGGTGATGGAAAATGGGCACGGGTGGAGGGATAGGTACTTGATCATTGTATGACTGAAACATAAACATGAAAGTTTGTAAGTCTGTAACTGTACCTCACGGTGATTCGTTAAAAAATAAAAATTTTTAAAAAACTCTAAGTTAAAAATCTCATCTATAAATTTCTCTTTATATAATACTATTTGTAAATTTGTATATATGGTCTCTATGCCATTATCATCTTCCCCATTCAGTTATCATCACCAACTATCATCATTGCCATCATTACTACCATCATCATCATCATTATACTCACCATCACATTTGTGAGAATCCGCTATCTGGAAAACTAAAGTGTCTAAGTAAAACTTATATTTGTTGGCATGATGTTTCTTAATAATAAGAATCATGTTAACCTGCCCTCACACAAATACAATATCACAAATGCCAACTGGTGAACCAGCAGCAAAGTTAACTTTTATCAGCAGTAAATTACTTTAGGTTCTCAATTTCCTCCCCTATAAAATAAAGCACATATTTGTAATAGCAATAATAATAATAAATCTGCCTAGGGGACTATTATAAAAATTAAATCCTAAGTATCCTAACATATGGCAGAAACTTAGCCTTAAGATAAAACTAACTTTTATCTTAATCTCTCTCCCTATCCTCCCTCCAGCCAATAAAATACTGAAGAAATTTTTTGGAAAAAAAATTTTAGGATGGAAATCTTCCTTTAAGTTTGAGAAGCTCTTTCTTCACAACAATTTCTACTTTTGGTAATCAGTTCATGAATGATGTAATTTTCCCAATCTACCCAACACAGGGAATGCTTATAATTACATCATGTCTATGGCAACTTCCTGCCTCTGTGCTCATCCTGTCTGATTTCTCATGAGACACTGTCACCACCTAGTAGTCAATCATTGTTATTTAAGCTCCATATCAGTTGGGATTTATTTTCTTCTCCTCTACATCACCAGAAAGTAGAATAGTATTTGATATGTAGAAGATAGTACATGAATAGGAGAAGTGGGAGAGGAGGAGAGATGGGAAATGAATACGGCAAGACCTCCAGGCAGTATATTGCAATTTGCACTCATGTGTGAATCTTGCTCACCTGTCTGAGACCTCTCAGAAGAGAGGGACTCTGTCATTTCATCTTGGCATCGGTATTGACCCAAGAGCTGATGGCTATTTAAGCACTAAATCAATGTACATTTATTTCAATAGTAGTTTTTCTCCAGAGATTTGCAACTTTTCAAGAGGAAAGTTAACTCTCCAGGGAGGAGCACACAACTCTCCTTATTGACTATGGAGTGCGCTGTGATCTGAGAGGGGAAATTGGCCAAGCTGAAAGCCCAGTTATGATCCAGAAAGCTACAGCTTGGCATCACCAGTCATTCCAAACCCTGTGCTAGAAAGCTCAAAGTAAAAGACTGACTTGAAAATAAAAGACGGTGTCAAAAGCGCCAGCAAAGGAATAAAATCAGAGGCAAATAGAAACCCACTCATGTCAAAGAGGTCTTTGCGTGGGCTGCTCTCTGCACTGCTGCCCGAGGTAGGCGCTGTCTGCGGCGGAAGGCGCTGTGTGTTGACGTACGTGGGCACTTCTCCCACAGCGGCCACGTGTGATTTCCCATCTGGGAAGCTGTAGATGTCCAAGGACCCTGCAACAAGAAAACAAGGTCTCTTTCGCTTATGGAAACACAGTTCTAGCAGATATTGCTAAGACCCAGGGTTTCACACAGAAGTTCCTGCTCCATTAGAATATTCTTTTTTTCCTTTTTAGCTTTTTGGGTCACACCCAGCAGTGCCCAAGGGTCACTCCTGGCTCTGCACTCAGGAATTACTCCTGGCGGTTCTTTGCAGATGCTCATGACTTACTTCCCCTTTTCTCACCCTGACACATAAACTTGTGTTCTGGCTAGGATTCGTTCCAATTTATGTTCCTTCTAGAAGGTGGCTTCTGCTAGCCCAAACTTGGGACCTCCAAGATAGTGAAGGGCCTTACCATGGACCCCACCCCATGCCTAACCCAGGTGTGTATGCAGCAGAAGCTGCCCCAACCCACTCCATCCTGTTTACAGAGACACTAAAGATCAAATCACTAAACAGTAGAATCACAAATCTTATGTCAATTGCTTTGCCTTTTCAGGGAAAGTCAGTGACTTCTAGATTATCTATTCTAGTACACAGTGCTAGCACGCAACAGGGACAAATGGAGACGTTACTGGCGCCCTCTCGAACAAATCGCCGATTAACGGGAAGTCAAGTGATCAAGTGATCAAGTACACAGTGCAAGGGCTGGGACTCTGTTTTGTTTATTTATGGTTTTTTGTGGCATGGGAGCAAGGGAGGGCTGAACCGAGGACCTCATGCGTGCAAAGCAGGCATTCTACCACTGAGCCCCCTTAATTGCCCATTCAAGCAAGACAAGGCAAGGTGTGGGACCCAGTTTTAATTTTTTTAACTTTTAAATTACTTCCCTAGGACTGGACCAGTACACCAGTGGGGAAGGCATTTGCCTTGCATGTGGTTGACCCAGGTTTGTTCCCCAAATGGATCCCTAAGCCCTACCAGGAGTAATGTCTGAGTACAGTCAGAAGTAAGCCCTGAGCAAAACAAACAAATTTCTCTCCCAATTTTTCTTGAGGCATCATGACTCACAGTGCCATTAATGGCAGAGTTTCATGCAAACAGCCCTATAGCATCACACTTGCCAGCAGAGTGTCAGCTTCCCTCTACCAAGAAAAGATTCTGTTTTTAAAGGTGTGGGTTTGGTTTTGGGCTTGGGCTTTACTCCAGCCTCTGGAAAGTGTTTTTCAAATAAACTGACACATTCTCCTTAGAAATGGAGCTGCCTGTGGGGCCTGGGATTTCCAGATGGTGTCAGAGAGGCTGAGGATGATCTGGGTTCCACTGCCAGCACCTGAGGTGAGTGAAGACGTTGCATGAAAAGATTCCCTTTAGTCACTGGTTCTTTCCAGGAGACTTATCTCTCTCTCTCACTCTCTCTCTCTCTCTCTGTCTCACAGTCTCACAATTATCTGTTGGCCAGCATGTCTCTGGAAAAGGCTACATTTCACACTACACCACACACTGTAGCAGTCTGACAGCAGAAACCGAACAGTCAAATGTTCAGGCCCAGTGATGCAGTACTTGTTTGAATTCAGTGGTGCCGAGACCACCAGGGTCACACCTGACAGTGCTCAGAGAGCTATGTAGAGCTGGAGATCAAACTTGGGGCCTAGAGCATATAAGACATGCACTCCAGTCTTTGAGAGGAACAGAAATGTACAGCAGGAGATTAAACTACTTCTCATATGCTCTGCATTGTCATGGACAGAAGTATATGGCATATATACACCATGATCTAGCCTCAGCAGAGCAGAACACGAAGCAGATGAAATTTGCAGTCTGAGCAGGGGAATCTAGAAAACCAGTGGACGGGGAAGGCCTTGATTCACTTCCAGAGTCTTCTTCGGCTCTCAACTCCTCATGGCATGTTTCCACTTCCTTGCAAGGCCTTGATACATGGCAAAAAGGATGGATTAGGTTGAGGTGGGTGTCGGGGACCATTTGAACACTCAAGATGAGAGGGGCCTGGGAGATAGAATCAAGATTCCAAGAAGAAACAGAACTTTCCCTGTTGATTTCCCTTCTTCGTTGCACCAATGAAGACCAGCGAGAAGACTAGTCACAGGACGCATATGTGGGACTATCGGCTTAGGAGCTCTTTAGAAGCTTTGCTCAGTCTTCAGGGAGATGTAAAGCAATGCACCATTGCTCTGGCCTGAAATCAGGAACCTGATAAAATTTCTTCTGGGGAGAATATCTCAAAAATGTCTTGTACCATCTCAACGCTAATCCTTAGCTTGACTCCTGTGTTTCCAAGTTGTTCTTGGTTACACACCTAGCTTAGAGAAGTCTCAGAGAATTGCATGCAGTTTTCTCATGTGTGTGCATTCTAACAAGTTAGTTGGCAAGAAAATTTTACAAACTGCTTACTGAAAATTAAAAAATTCAAGGACTGACACACAAAAGAATCTCCAAACCGAGCTGCTTGCTGCAAGATGGCTAACTTCACCAGGGTACCTCAGACAGGAGCAGGAGTCATCCTTCCGCCTGTACCCTAGAATCCCCAGCAGCTGCCAACTTCCAGAACCCAATGAGAAGTAGAGGTATGCGGGTTCAGTGACAGAAAACTCCAGGCATCAAGGGATAGGAGATGGGCCAGTTCTTCTCATCCCCCATCCCTGGAGGTCACACCTGCAAACTACCTCTGGCTACTGCTTAAGCTCCTTAATGACCGTGATCCAGAGACACACAAAAGAATCTCCCAACTGAGCAGCTTGCTGCAGAGATTTCTCCAGATCCTAATTACCAAAATTTTAGAATTCCAAGAGCATGTGGCCACCCTCCCAGCCATGTGACATCTTATGTTATTCATAACGAGCAATACAAAAGAAAGTATAGGGAAGATTGTCTGCCATAGAGGCAAGGGGAGGGGTGGAATGGGGGGATATTTGGTATATTGGTAATGGAAGATGTGCACTGGTGAAGGGTTGGGTGTTCGATCATTGTATGAGTGAAACTCAAACATGAAAGCTTTGTAACGGTATCTCACAGTGATATAATAAAAATAAATAAATAAATTAATTAATTCAAGGACCACTTTCCCAATGCCAGCCTCTTCCACCAGAGATCACACAAGCCCTGAGCCAGGGCAAGTGGGCAGACCAGGGCCAAGGATAGCAGAGTTCATTTGCATTCGGGTGGAAGAGCAAAGCGGCAAGTTGCTTTCAACTCAGAACTTGGGTTGTATTAAGTGTTCCAAGGCTCAAGCTGCAGGGTAGAAACCTGCTAATGTGCTTTGGCCCTGGTGAATTTCTTACATTGTCTCTTCTGATCTCACTGGACTAACTCAAGTACTAAAGACCTTACTTTTAAATAATTCTGGTATATTTTACAAAGTGTCTGACATCAATAGCACTGTCACTGTAGCACTGTTCTCCCATTGATCATCGATTTGTTATAGCAGGCACCAGTAACGTCTCCATTGTGAGACTTGTTGTTACTCTTTTTGGCATATCAAATATGCCATGGGAGCTTTCCAGGCTCTGCTGTATGGGCAGGATACTCTTGATAGCTTGCTGGGCTCTCCAAGAGGGGTAGAGGAATCGAACCCGGGTCAACTGCGTGCAAGGCAAATGCCCTACCTGCTGTGCTATCACTCCAGTGAAATCAATAATGTGAAATAAATCACGTGTCTTCTAAAGGCCAGGGAGCAGATCAGGGGTGAGTGCACATGCCTTGCACATACCCAACTTGGGTTCAATGCCCAGCACCACCCAGTCTCCAGCGCATCACTGGGTGTGTTCCTGGGGGCCCCTAAGCCTGCTGACAAAAATACAAAAGTCTCCACGAGGAAGAACTTTAAAATATTTGAAATTGGAAATACTTATTGTCATTTTCTCCCTGTCACAAAAGATTATAGTGAAGAAAAAATCTTCAGGTTGAACAACTAAATGGTAGAACTGATATAAATAGGATCTTCATCCATTCTTTGCTCCACCTCCTTCAAATCCGGTAGTCTATAGCCAGGGTCCCAAAGCTCTTGAAAGTGTTGTGTAAATGTTTCAGGGGCAGAAAGTTTAAAGTTAAAGGAAAATGTTAAATAGTAAGCATAGGAGGCCAGAGAAATTGCACAGCAGGAAAAACATATGGTTCAGTCCCTGGCATGCCAAATGGTCTCCCAGCACAGACCCTGGGTAAACTCTCAGCAACATCTGGCCCAAATACCAGAACATAAAAAAACATAAAATTAAATTAATAAATAAACTGTAAATATGTACATACTTGGGTGTGGAGAGAAATAACTATCTTCAGAGGAAAGGCAGGTCAAAGCACTTCCTTCTTGTCATGTCTGAACCTTTTCTAACTGGGGAAGCAGACCCTTGTTGATGGCTTGATAAGATGTAAAAACATCCTCTAAAGAGCCTCAAGCCCTACAAATCCCTACTGACATCCCAACATCTCAAGACCTTGCCCCCAGAAGAACACAGATCTCTGTTTTGAATTTCTGGGACACCTCACCTTGCCTCACAGTCGTTGGCTGCCAATCTTCACCGAACGGGTCTCCCAAGTGCCTCCCTTGGTAGTAAGTTTGTTCTTTTCCTGAAAACTATAGACACCAAAAGTAGATGAAGAGAAAGAAAATTAATTCTCTCCTCATGTCCACATCTTCAAAAGTCAGAACACAGTTTAGGGGAACTGGAGTTCATTGCATTCCTCACAATACCTAATTTTCACTTTCTGGGTCCGGAGATTTGAGAAGCTTGTGGTGGGAGGAAGGACCACATCTGTTTAATCAGTATGCCCTCCCACTTCGTTGTCCCCCGACCTTCTTCCAGTCATAATTGTAAATGGAGTTCCCCTGCATGCAGCTGTATCTCTCAACAGGACCCCCAAAAAGTCCCAGTTGAAGAGGGACAACATGTCAGAACACTTACCACCAACACCCAAGTCAGTTCATTCCCTCCATGTTGGAGTTAAGGACAGTTGATTTCAGTGCTGTTCTGCTACTTTTATTGGTATTACAATCATTTGCATAAAGCAAGTGACATCAAAAGACTTCTTCAAGCCAAAAACAGATGTAATAATTGGGGTGAGGGTGGGGGGGAAAGATGGCTTTCTAGAATTTAGAGTTACAGTAAAAATCAGTGTCATGAATGAAGTAGAAAACTTTATCAAAGTTTTTATTCTAAAGGTCAATATCCACTCTCTTTACAGAGAAATCACAATACCCCAGGACTTTGAAAAAGCCTACTACTCTCTCTGTGCCTCATTATGATCACAGTACATGGGATTTGTCCTAGAATGGGGAGGAGACCCTCTCTGATCTCAGGAATTAAAATATAGTTCAAAGGCATTTCACTAATGGTTTGTGATGTTAAAAAAAAAAACCACGACAATTTGTCTCAGTGAAATTCAAGGGGAAAAAAAAGGTTATGAGCCATTCCAACAAAGATTGGTGAGTATACAAGCCTGAAAATAAAGTTCTGGGGAAGGAGCAAGAACTACCTGGGCAGTGTCAGGGGCTGGGGGTCTGGTTTTCAGGCGTGTATCAGCAAATCCCCCTGCAGGGGGTGTCTTGCTTGAAATGTTGTTGTAGTAGGGGTGGTCTGAAGCATCGCTCTCCTCTTCTGTCCATGGCTCATCCAGACTCTGCATTCTGTTCGAAGAGATTTTTGAGACTGTTAGCTGAAAGTTAGCTTGCAATCAAGACCAGCAATACTGGGGCTTGGAGCAAATAGTATAAGAAGGCAGGGCACTTGCCTTGCAGGCAGCCAAGCCAGGTTCAATCCCCGGCACTCTGTTTGGTTCCCCTGAGCCCCTGCAGGAGTTATCTCGGAGTCCAGAACCGGGAGTAAACCCTGAACACCACAAGGTATGACCCACTGTAGCACTGTCCTCCTGTTGTTCATCAATTTACTCGGGCGGGCACCAATAATGTCTCCATTGTGAGACTTGTTGTTACTGTTTTTGGCATATTGAATATTTTTTAAATTGTGACCCACAATTTAAAAAATAAAGTTAAAAAGTAACAATACTAATATCCGTTAGTACCTATCATCCCAGAAAAGAGAATTTGCTCACTTACCCGCAGTCACCTAGGTTTCATGAATATTTTGGTTAAAAATATCTGCCTTCCTCATCATTCTAGCCTTTGGGAACTTCTAGTCATAGATAAAATAGGGAAAAGATCTATCTAGCTTTAACCAAAACAAAGGGTCAGTCTAAACATCTATGATAGTGACTGGATAGAGAAGCTATGACAAATATATAATCAGCTTTTAAAAATAATAACAAAATCAAGCCTTTTCCAACAACATGGATAGAACTTGCAGTGATAATACTAAGGAAAATGAGTCAAGAAAAGAAAGACAATTTCTGGATGGTTTCACTCATATGTGAAATACACTGGCAAAGCAAGCCAAAACAAGTGCACTGGCAAAACAACAAAAATAACTCCTATATTACGGATTATATGGTAGCTACCAGGGGATAAAGGGTCACTCTATCAGTGTGGTGACACTAGAATGTGGGATGTGATTTACATTCTTTTTATTTTATTTTATTTTTTTGCTTTTTGAATCACACCTAGTGATGATCAGGGGTTAATCCTGGCTCTTCACTCAGGAATCACTCCTGGCAGTGCTGGGGGAACCATATGGGATGCCAGGGAACAAACCCGGGTCAGCTGCGTGCAAGGCAAATGCCCTACCCACTGTACCTTGGCTCTGACCCTGAGATTTATATTCTTTATGGAAGTGTAAGCAGTGCTCTTATTGTAAACCAATGCAAATCATTAAAATTTGCATGAAAAAGTACGTTACCACCAAATAAGGCAATTGTGAGAAATAAAGTAATAAAAATAACAGATCTAAATTTACAGAAAAATATTAAAATAGCAGGCAAGAAATTCCAACTTCTGCTTGTTACATATATTTAATTATATTAAATGTAAAACATTAAAATTTTAATTAAAAGAGATTAGCATATGGATTAGAAAGAAACATGATCAGACTGTATCTCTTTCCACAAGAAGCATATTCAAGATTCAAAAATATAAGTTGCAAGTAAAAGTATGCAAAAATAAACTTCATTCAAATAGTAACCTGATGAGAGTTTAATACTTTTAATATCGGACAAATATATCACAAGGAAAAATTTGTTATTAGAAACTAGAAACAAAAAGACATTTTGAAATGATAAAAGAGCAATTCATCAAGAAGATATAACAATTATAAACCTATATTGCCCTCAGAACAGAACTCTCAAACACAGGATGTAATATCTGACAATTATATAATTTAACAATAGTTAGAAATACTCCATTTTAAATAATATATAAATCAATTAGAAAAAGATTGGAAACTAGAAGGTTGAGCAATACTATAAACCAACTAGACATAGCATATCTCTCTCTGTCTGTCTGTCTCACTCTATATATACATATATATGTGTGTATGAATGTACACACACATATATATGCGAGGACAGCCAGGCGCGGGGGCAGGAGACTCAGCCGAAGACCTCCAGAACCAGCCACCACCATGCTGAGACCACTCTTCGCACACATGAAGGTACCGGCAGAGGAACAAAGGCATGCGGGTCCCGGGGCTGAGATCTCCAAGTCTACTCGGATCAGGGCTGAGCATCCTCCACCCAGATCCTCCAAATTCCAATAGGCGGGGGTCACACCCACCAACTGGCCCCCTGGCGCCGTGTAATCCCATCAACGGTCAAGACTCAGAGACTATAAAACCCAGCTCCCGGAAGCGCAAGGCCGCATTTGCTGCCGCACGACATCTTATTATGACATCTTATTATCTCATTCCTACTTTTGGACAAACTGGCAGGCTGCCGAGTGCAACCTGCCCACACGGCAGAGTCTGGCAAATTCCCCGTGGCATACCCAATATGCCAAATACCAGTAACAATGATGGGTCTCATTCTCCTAAAGTGCCTTGAATATAGCATTTTCTTAAAAATCTCAGGGCTGGGGCTGGAGTGATAGCATAGCAGGTAGGGCGTTTGCCTTGCACGCAGCCAACATGACTGACACAGGTTCGATTCCCAGCACCCCATATGGTCCCCTGAGCACCGCCAGGAGCAATTCCTGAGTGCATGAGCCAGGAGTGACCCCTGAGCATCGCTGGGTGTGACCCAAAAAGCAAAAAAAAAAAAATCTCAGAGCTAGGATGAAGGAGACATTACTGGGGCCTGCTCGAGGCAATCGACGAATAACAGGAAGGTCATGATTCGTGATGAATGTATAAACATGCGATAATTTTAGGATGCAAATTCTTCCCACTACACATGGAAACTTCCCCAGGATGTAATATATGTTAGTCCATAGATCAAGTTTCAGAATTATTAAGTGATCGTAATAATAAAAAGTATTTTTCAGACCATAATGGAATAAATGTAGAAATTAATGACAAAAATAAATCTGAAAAAGTTATATATATAAAGGCCCTCCCGTTGATCGTCGATTTGCTCGAGTGGACCCAGTAACGTCTCCATTGGAGACTTTGTTGTTACTGTGTCTGGCATATTGAATACTCTCGGTAGCTTGCCGGGCTCTCCGAGAGGGGCGGAGGAATCGAACTCGGGTCGGCCATGTTGGCCGCTTGTAAGGCGAACACCCTACCGCTGTGCTATCGCTCCAGCCCATAGGGCTGGAGCGATAGCACAAGTAAATAATACATTCTTAATTAACAATTGGGTCCAAAAAAGAAATAACAAGAAAAAGTGGAAAATAGTTTGAAATGGATAAAAACAAAAAAAGCACATATCAACACTGATAGATAAAGGTAAAGGTAAAGGCCCTCCCGTTGATCATCGATTTGCTCGAGCGGGCCCAGTAACGTCTCCACTGGAGACATTGTTGTTACTGTGTTTGGCATATCGAATACGTCACGGGGAGCTAAACTCAAACGGTTTGGAAGAAGATATATAACTGCAAATATCTGCATGATAAAATAAGGTTTTAAAACTGACATTCCACAAAAAAATAGAAAATAAAGACACATTTGACTCCAGCAGAGTGAATAAAAAATAAATATGTGAAGATGAACTAGATGTATGAAAATAGAGCATAATAATGAATAATAATGAATAAAAATAAAAAAATAAAATAAGTGATTTTTTTAAAAAGACTCAAATTACTAAAACTAATTCAAGAGGAAACTGAGAACCTTAATATAGTAATAGGTAGAGATTGAATACATCAGGATCCTCCGTGAGCTCTATTGCGGATTCACTACCAGGATCTCACCATTCTACAAAGAAGTGATCGTTGATGTCAAGAGAGGGGTGCGGCAGGGTGATACCATTTCACCGAAACTCTTCAGTGCCACCCTCGAGAACATCATGCGACGACTGGAATGGGAAGGAATGGGAGTGAAGATAGATGGTTGGCAATTACACCACCTCCGCTTTGCTGATGACATTGTTTTAATAACACCAAACATCAGCCAAGCGGCACAAATGCTGGCCGACTTTGACCGTGAGTGTGGAAAGGTAGGACTACAGCTGAATCTTACGAAGACAATGTTTATGAGAAACAGCCTTGTTCCTGACGCCCCATTCGCTCTCAATGGAACGACCATCTCCGAATGCAACAGCTATGTGTACCTAGGTCGAGAGGTCAACATGACAAATGACCTGGCACCCGAGCTGCGCAGGAGGAAGAGAGCGGCTTGGAACGCCTTCAAGAACGTCGAAGAAATAGCTAAGAGGACGAAGAACCTCCGGCTCCGGGCACATCTCTTTGATTCCACTGTTCTTCCTGCATTAACATATGCCTCAGAGACCTGGGCCCTACGCAAACAAGATGAGAACGCTATTCAGGTCTCCCAAAGAAGAATAGAAAGAGCTATGCTTGGAATATCACGTTTCACTCAAATGAGAGAAAGAATCCGGAGTTCTGACATCCGTCGACGATCAAGGATCAGGGACGCTGTCTCATTTGCCAAGGTGTCGAAAATCAGATGGGCTGGTCACGTAATGAGATTTAAAGACGACCGTTGGACTAGAGCTGTTACTGATTGGATTCCACGGGATGTCAAAAGACCGCGTGGCCGCCCACCTACCAGATGGTCAGACTTCTTTGTCAAGATCATGAACGATCGGTTTGAGGCCCTTCATGTTCCCGGAGCGAACAGATTCCATTGGGCTACACTAGCACGCGACAGGGACAAATGGAGACGTTACTGGCGCCCGCTCGAGCAAATCGACGACTAACGGGAAGTTAAGTGATAAGTGAAGAGATTGAATAAAGGTAAAGGTAAAGGCCCTCCCGTTGATCGTCGATTTGCTCGAGCGGGCCCAGTAACGTCTCCATTGGAGACTTTGTTGTTACTGTGTCTGGCATATCGAATACTCTCGGTAGCTTGCCGGGCTCTCCGAGAGGGGCGGAGGAATCGAACTCGGGTCGGCCATGTTGGCCGCTTGTAAGGCGAACGCCCTACCCGCTGTGCTATCGCTCCTATTAAAAACTGCATGCATTCTAAGAAAATCCCAGAACTATATGACTTCCAGTGAATCTCTCAAACATCTATAGAACAATTAACAACAACTCTCCATAAACTTTCCTAAAAAAAATTAGATAAAATACTTTCACAATGGCTGGAGCGATAGCACAGCGGTAGGGCGTTTGCCTTG